CCCGCCCCGGCCCGGCCCGGCACAGCGCAGGGCCGGGCGCGGGCCCGGCCGCCGTCTCACTGTGGCTGTGCTTCTTGCAGAACGCGAGGGAAGTACGGGGAGGGCGCCCAGCAGGAGACGTTCAAGTACGCGCTGTCCTTGGTCTTCATCCAGTGCGTGATCAACGCCGTCTTCGCCCGGCTGCGTACGTACCCCGGGCCCCGCGGCCTCTCCACCGCCTCCCTGCCCCGGTTGGACTTGGTGTTGCCAGGTCTTCAATGTGAAACGATCGCTTTGGACGCTCAAAATGGCCGTATTTGCTGGAAAACTACCCAACACTGAAAAAAATATGATGCAAATAAACCTCTTTCTTATTTACTTTATGTTGCTCACTGTAAATCCAGCGAGCGGGTGAGAACTGCATCATCCGAATTGAAGCGTTTCTCATTTCGAGGCAAGCAGCCATAAGGAAGTGCTGACGGCAAACCCAAAAGTTGGCTAAGACTCTCCGAGAGTGACCTGGGTTTTGCATAGGCTGCCTCAGAAATTATTGTATGTTTTGAACACTTCTATTGTTATTGATAGTACGTTGCACAGGGGTTGAAATGATCATACAGATATGATAACTATCGTATACCTGGCAACACTGTGGAGTCTTGGGACCCACCCCCACGGTCCCCCTGCACGTCACCCCTGCGGGCAGGCATCAGGAATTCAGCATCTGCCCTTTACCTCGACCTCTTCAGATCAGACGCTCGGGCCCTAGAGATCTGGACAACAGCTTGCTTCATCCGTGCTGTGGATAAGAAGCTGAACTGTGTTGGGGGTTGTGTACTTCTGGCATCACAAATCTATTTTACAATGCCATAACATCCAGTGACAACCTGTATTTTTTGTACTTCTCCCCAGTGATCCAGTTCTTTGACACTGTCAGAGTGGATCGGACTCGGAACTGGCTGTATGCAGCTTGCTCCCTCTCCTATCTGGGCGCTATGGTTTCCAGCAACTCAGCTCTGCAATTCGTCAATTATCCAACTCAGGTGAAGAGAGGTGGGCTGGTTTGTGCAGCAAGAAACTTGGGTTATAAAATTTCCTTTGTAGATTTGCATTTTCCCTAGTGAGGACTTTTACAAGTTATAGCTTGTAATCTTTGTACCTAAGATGTTAAATCAGTGCAGGGATGCACTGGGGCACTGATCAAGGGCTGGGGTGGTACAGGTGCTAAGGCCCATGTTTGACAGCCCAGAAGTTGCAAGTTTGAGGCCACAGCAGAAGCACTCATAGCAGGGCCATGTCAGATTCCAACAAATCTGCAAATTCTGCTAAATTACCTTGTCACAAAGACACACAAAAGTTAAGGACAGGAATATCCAGAAAGATGGTCAACTCTGAAAAATAAATTTGAGGGGAAATATCCTTACACTCCAGGACTTAAGACTACTGGGGGTGGAGGGACTCTGGGTCTGATCCCATCTAGCAATTCCTGCGTTATGATCACCTCGCCTGGTTGTGGGTAGTGTGTGGCATGCAGCTAGTTAAGATGCTCTTTCACTTACAGGTCTTAGGCAAGTCCTGCAAACCCATCCCAGGTAAGCAGTTATCATATGCTTTCTAGTCTGTACCCTGCTTTGAACCAGTCCCTGGTTTTTTGTACTATGAAAAACAGTACATTTCCACTCATGGAGCTGTTGAGAGGCTTGACAAATGTCTGTGTCTAAGCATAGCTGACCCTGTCTGAGGTGTTGGGGGAGTGGATGGCATGACCTCCTGAAGGCCCCTTTCTTCCCTATTATGATTCTACTCCTGGGGCAGCTCTGCTTGTGCCAGAGTGGAGAGAGTAGCCATGTGCTTGTCCGTTGCACCCAGAATGTGGCACAGAATCGTTTCATTTCTAGCAGAGTTTTTCAGGAGCAGTTTCCCAAACCTTCTTCTTTCTGCAGTCATGCTTCTAGGCGTGACTGTGCTGAGGAAGAAGTACCCACTAGCCAAATATCTCTGCGTCCTGCTGATAGTCACAGGTGTGGCCCTGTTCATGTACAAACCTAAAAAAGGAAGTGCGAGTGCTGATGACCACATCTTTGGCTATGGAGAACTTCTCCTGGTAAGTACCAGGCTGCTGAAGTACAAGGAATCCCAAGGGTTTGTGTGGGTAGTGGAGGCTGCTCCACCATCGGGGTTCTCCAGAATCCATAGTGGAAAGATGGTTAAAGGGGTGATTGTCTGCTAGGCCCTGGGAGGGGTGATTCTTCCAACCTACCTCACAGTGAGGTGGGATGGGGCATTGGCACAGGCATGCCAGGCACCACTTCAGAATTCACGTTCATCTGTTACCATTTAATAAACAGTTTGAAACTAGAAGGCTATTGGATTTGGATGTGCATTAAAGAGGAAATAGCTGACAAGGGTCCTGTATTGTCTTCTCTTATGACCCCCTTTCTTTCCTTAGCTGCTGTCACTGACGTTGGATGGACTGACTGGGGTGTCACAGGACCATATGAGAGCTCATTACCAGACTGGTTCCAACCACATGATGCTAAATGTTAATCTGTGGTCCACACTGTTCCTTGGTGCTGGTAAGGAACACGCTGAGAGAGGCTAAGTGATCTGGCCTGAAGACTGACTTGGAACATCCTCTGAGCCAAGGACCTTGCCTCTCCTTCTGTAAAGGGCCTAGCATACTTTGCAGAACTTCCTTCTTTTTTTAGAGGGGGGAAATCTACCTGCCCAGTTTTTTATTTGGGTGCAGTTTTTTTAAGTGGCCAGCAGAGTACACTGCTCCTCACACAGTTCAGTCACCCAAGTACATCTGCATCTCTGAAAAATTCCTGCCTTCGGGCTGACCCTGGGGTCTGAGTAACAGTCTCTGCCACCATTGCCTTGCTTTGACTGGGAATGAGGTTGCCTTGTGTGTAGCAGTGTGTTCTTTTTTTGAGAAACGGTGCTCGTGATTACTGTGTTGAGAATTGGGGATAATGAAAGGTGCAGTCAACAAGAGTAACTACGAGGGTGACATTTCACTTGATGTTTTTTTGACTGCGTCCAAGTGTAAAACTGCAAACTACTTCTGGAGCGGTCCTGTTCTTGAAAATGAAGAAGTTCTTGCATTCTGCTGTAGCATCCACTTCCTCTCATTGAACTCCTGACACCCCTTACTCTGGCTTTAGGCTCAGTAAATTAGGGCTGAGTGAGATACGGCTGGGAAGCAATGGAGAACAGAATTGTGGCTGTACAATAGATTTAGCAGCTGGATGCTAATCCCTTTGAATCCTAAGAGATTAGCCTCCTTAATATTTTGCCTCCCACCAGAAACTCTGCCATGGACCAGTGACTACAGATCCTTTTCCACTGGCCTTCTCTGGGTGGAGTTTGCTTTCACTTTTGTAGTAGATTCTTTATCAGCTGTAGTGAATGTGAATTATGAGCATGACTTCAGAGGCACTGACTGCCCAGGGTGTCTCTGGCCCAGGAATTTATGCTGTCCTTAAACCTTCCCCAGGGATCTTGTTCACGGGAGAGCTTTGGGAGTTCCTGAGTTTTGCAGAACGTTATCCCAGCATCCTCTACAACATCCTGCTGTTTGGCCTGACAAGTGCGCTGGGTCAGGTAGATAGCATTCTGTTCTCTTACCCTAAACCCCTTCATGCAGCGTTCCTGATTTCTCCTTTACTTGGAGGACCGAAGGTGAAGCTGCCAGATCTTCCTGCTGTTTCTGATTATACCCTGCATACTGTACAGCCAACACTCTCAGCTGTAGATGGGCTCACAGTTGTGCATGAAATCTTCTTCCCATAAGAGTGTGATTTAAGATGTAATTGGAATTCAGTTTCTATAAAGCCTGTAAGGTGCATCTAGGAAGACAGTCTGCTCCAGCACACCAAATCTGTTTCTCTTCCAGAGTTTCATCTTCATGACTGTAGTATACTTTGGACCTTTGACTTGTTCCATCATTACCACAACCCGCAAATTCTTCACCATTTTAGCCTCTGTCATTCTGTTTGCCAACCCAATCAGTACAATGCAGTGGGTAGGGACTATCCTAGTATTTTTGGGTAAGTCCTAATTTCAGAATCTTTGCTCTGGCCATTACGTGGTGGTGGAGTATGGAAATTGGTGGCTGACTGGGGAGGGGAGGTAGGGAGGGAGGGGAAGGACTGAGTGCAATGGATTATTTTTGTCTTGGGACAGATTTGTTGGTGAAAGTATGTCTCTGGTCTTGTTTGGGAGAAAAGGTTCAGGTAGTTCTTGGAGGGTGTTACTCCAGTTACAGATCCAGCTGACTTAAAAGATTTTTGTTTATACTAAAATTTTTACCTGGCACCCACTGGCTCTAGAGTAATTAAGCGCTGATCAGTATGTGGGGCTGTAGACTGGTTTGTAGTTGTCTGAGGGAAGTACTGAAGTCTTCCTCAGGCACAAATCCTTCTTGTTTCTCTGCAGGTCTTGGACTCGATGCCAAATTTGGGAAAGGAACAAAGAAGACATCACATTAGGAAGACCTGTGAGCTCTACAGTTGGAAGGAACTTTTAATTTATTGTCTTGTACCTCAGCATCTGCTATGAAACTGGACTCAGTCCGGGTGCTTGAAATGGGATTTCTTTTTTTAATTATGAACTGTTTTACAGTGTAACATTTTAGTTTTAACAATAATCAAGAGTTTAACTTTTTTTTCTGTAATCAAAGCTGCATCAATGGATCCCTGCAGCAGGGAGAAATTCTTGCCTTAAAGGGAGAAACATTTTACCTTTAATAAAGGAAAAGGAAACAAGTTGCTGCTTCTGACCTTTATTTCAGTTGGTTTTCTGATCTTAGAAAAGCTGTGTTCTTTGCAGACCTTGTAGCATCCAACTCTGTGTAAAAGTAGCACAAATAGGTTTCCTCTTTCTACCTTGCTCCAAGGGAAGGGTCAGTCTGTTTCCTTAGCTTTCAAAAGGTTTAGGTGTCTCATTATTGTGGTGTTGGATGAAACCAGGATTAAGTGACCCTGACAAAGGCAGAAATCCCATCATGCTTTAGAAGAATAGTTCCCCAAAGCATGGATGATGGAGCAGTAAAAAGGGTCCCAGTTTCTTGTTCATCTAATCAATTTATACAGCTGTGAATCTTATCCCCTTCATTAGGGCTTGTTAAAAGAAGAGCAACTTTAGACAAAGTTCCAGGCTCTGCAGCTTGCAAGCAACCTGCCTTACCACTGGGGGCCAAATTAATTCTTTTTCATCATGCCCCCCCCACCCGTGCTGGTAAAGAAACAAGACCCTCTGCTGCTAAAGCCATGCCAAGGTTGTGTGACAGCAGCTTCTAAATGTTGAAAGGGCCCTTGTTAATTAACTAGCACCATTGAGAGCTTTGGAATGCCTGCTCCTGAGTGCTCAGGCTTGCTCCCAAGTGTTGTAGGGGGGAGGAGCTATTAGCATAATGATGCCTTCAAAGTTGGAGAGCAAAATTCTCCAAAGAGCAAACTTTACACATGAAAGCGTGTTTCCACCAGCTGTCGCTTGGTCTCCATCTGTTCTGTGGCTTTGGCCTCTTGCCCCTCCAGATGGGATCTTGATCTTCTTCCTGAATGGCTGTTGCAAGTCTCTCCCTCTCTTCTTCCCCCCCCCCACTTGCCTCCAACCTTTCGGGGCCCCAAATTGGCTTTCATTAATCTCTTTCGTGTCCCATGGCTCTGTCCAAAGGGCAAGTTTCCTTCACAATTGAACTTGGTAAGGAAAAGGATATTTAAAGTTGAGGGAAGGGTTTTCTCTAATGTCACCAGCTCCTCCTTGCTCACTCTTTGTATTTTCTTAAAGGTCGACTGATTAGTAGTAAGCAAACATTTTCTGTCATGCAGAATCCTCAGCTAAACCTTCCTGCCTCTTAACTCCATGTGTCCCATGTTCTCCATGGGATGTAGTTTGTTCAACTGGCATCTGCTCTTGGTATTCCTTGTACTTTGCAGAATGTGAGCATCTCTCCATTAAATGGGGAGTTTTTGATAACACCCTTAACAGAACTTTCCCCATTGCTACAGTGGGGAGAGCTGAGCCAAAGAAAATGATTGACCCAGATTACACAGGGAGTTGGTGGTAGACCTGGGAAACAAATGTGTGTGTAATTCTCATTTCAGCTCCTACTACAAAACTCTTTCCTTCTCAGCGAGCACAGGGGTTTGGCACTTACACCTCCAAAAAGCTTGCTATTAGGAGAAGCCACAAATCCATGCTGGAAGAAGGAGGCCCCAGGTTCTGTTACTGTGAGTCTCTTGCTCTTCCCTTTCAAAATTGCTGTTAAGTACACTGGAAAAAGGCATCACTGACACTGGGGTATCAGGCAGCAATATAACTGAATTTGTGCAAGCACTCACTAGAAAAACATTCCTGAACCAAACAGCAAAATCCAGCCAAGTATTGTTCCACCATACTACACTGTCACCTGTTCAAAATGTTCTTGTCAGTCACTTAATAGCAATGGATTTATGCCTGGTCAGTTCTAATTCCATAATTTAGCTAATCTATGAGAGTTCTCCAGAAAGTAAGCAAGCAGCAGCTGAGGGACTGCTAACCTTCAGAACCTCCTGCTGCTGTGTTAGTCCAGGGATGAGGAATTTTCTGCCTCTGGATGCAGTCTGCAAAGCCAAACAGTCATTGCAGGTAGGGGTTCCAAGCTACTTTTGGGTCTATGCCTAGAAGACAGGCTCCTCCTGGGTTTTCCCTTAAGGTGGTTGTTCTTCGTGAGGATTTGGGCTTTTCTCTCCCTTCAGGTGTCATACTGGGAATTGTGTGGGGCTACAGAGGAGAAATTAGGACTTCGTCTGGCTTGGGGCTTTCTCTGCAGCTGAAGCAAGGACCAACATTTGGATTAAAAATACTTTTGCTCCTGCGCTTCCTCTTTCCCATTCTGCAGCAGCTTCAGAGTTATAAATGATGTTTTCCTGAGGCCAATTCTCTGAGTTAAGCATTGTTGTTACCAATATCGTCCCCTTTTTTCTTTTTTTTAATGCTTGCATCCACAGCACAGCCTGGATCCTAGGAAATCAGATGGGAGGGAAAGATCTGTACCAAGTTCCCTCTGCCACTTCTGTGGTAGATCTGCTGTCTGTTGCCTGCTGCCCCTCCTGCTCTCACTTGGGCAATCAGGCAGGATTTTTAAATTAAGGGCAGATCTTGAACCATCCCTGCACTCTTCAAATCTTTAGGGCTCCTTGAACAGCTTGCTGACTTCCCCACGGAGCTCACATCGTCAGAGATCCCAGAGGAGGCCAGCAAAAGATTCCAAAATGCTGTTGTCAAATCAACAGTGGATGCTTTTAATAAAACTGCCATAAACCAGTCCCTGGGGTTTCTGCAGCCAGAAGGGATTGTCAGCAGCTTGACCCTGTTTGTAAAGTCACCACACATCTGGCTGGGCCTTTTGTTTATATTGCTACTTGACTTGTTGCTTGGCTGTTCATGTCTCCAGCAAAACAGAAATATAAGTAAACTATGAAGGAGGTTCAACTTGGTATCTAATAATACTGTTGTCCTCTGTATTGTATTTTTTCTATTAGACTGTAAGCTCCTTCAGGCAGGCACCTTATTGCCTTGTCTAAAGGGATATGTAAACGTATGGTTCTTTATAAATAACGAAAGTGCTTTAAATGAGATGTACTCAAGCTTCTGGCAAGTCGTCATGAGGAACTTCTAACTCAGCTTGGCCACGTGTGTTATATGGGTAGATGTGCTGCAGGTTAAGAACACAAAGTAAGGGTAGATGAGAAGCGTATGAATTCTAGGGTATAGCTGCATAGATGTCTTGTAGACTACAGCTGAAGCATCTTCTTGCCAGACCCATGCTTGCCAGCTTGTATTTTGCAAGTTCAGATACAGGGAAGGGTAAGTGGTGTAGCAAAGTCTGCACCCCTTAAACCAGGAAGCA